AGATCAGGAGTTGACTAAAAAAAAATTTTTTGAAAGTATTAATGTGCGTGAAGGATTGGGAAGACGCTCATTATCGACTGCAAGATAAATATACTGAAATTGCATGTAATCAAGTAAATGATATTTAATTTAATTATATTCATCACAAAATTTTATTTCAATACCTTTATAATTTTTTTAAAAATTTGTACGCGTAACAAGTTGTTCGTTTACAATTTTTAACTCCACCTACTCGAAATTAAAGTAATTGGCCCCTAACCCTGGATAAAGGAGGTGAGTTTATCTTCTTTTTAAAAAAAAAAAAAATGTTTTTGTAAATGTNTTTTATTTTAATACCTTTATAATTTTTTTAAAAATTTGTACACGTAACAAGTTGTTCGTTTACAATTTTTAACTCCACCTACTCGAAATTAAAGTAACTGGCCCCTAACCCTGGATAAAGGAGGTGAGTTTATCTTCTTTTTTTAAAAAAAAAATGTTTTTGTAAATGTATATTTAAAAACTATTTAGAAAATGTATGTATATATATTTTTTAGGTTTAGTATAGTAAAAAAAAAAAAAAGAGCCGTCGAGCTTTAGCTCGGCTCGCCAGTACCCACGAGCAGCTAGCTCGGGACACGAGCCGAGCTCGCCCAAAATTTGAACAACTTAGCTCATCGTGGACGAGCCACGAGCACGAGCCGAGCTCGGGTGGGTAAGGGCCAAGCCGAGAGAATGCCACCCCTACCTATAGGAATGACATATTGAATGACAATTATTAACAGATAAATGAAGCATTAAATAATGAAATCAAGTTGCAACCAATTCCTAACGACAACAATAAGTAAAGTATTCTTGTTGGGCTCAAGCCAAATTCTTCAAGTGGCGTGCAGTCTAACGACCCATTTGATTGAAGCTTTCGTTTAAGTTATACAGTAATTAATCTGGCAGCCTTATTTCAATTTCCGTGTCCATTATTCACAATAAACTAGAGATGAATAATAATCAAACAAATATTTTTAAGTACCTATAAACTATTTGAGTCCTAGAGATCAAACAAAAGGCACCTTCTTGCTGGTGATCTGCCATTAGAAAACAGTTTTGAAGCATAGAAGTTGAAGTTTAATCTAAACTTGCTTTACCAAAAAAAAAAAGGAAGATGAAGTTCATATTTCAAGCACAAATTTCACCTTGGACTCGTAAAACTAACAGTAATAAAATCCAGATTTCCCATTCATTCCACAAAAGGTAACATATAACATTCTGTCACTAACAAAAAGCAGTTCATCTGCGAAGGGGATCACGCAAGCTAAACCTCGTTCTTGCTATTACATACACCAAACCAACCAATATAAAGATATAGAATAAACACCTACCGGCTACCGCTAATTCACTTCTTCTTTTTAGCTGGTGGTTGATCCTCCTCCTCCTCCTCCTCCTCTTCATCCTCCCCATCCTCATCCTCATCCTCATCCTCATCACCATCATCATCTTCGTTGTCACTCCCATCATTTCCATTAGCCTCAGGATTACCCTCGGGATCCCCTTCTTCTTCATCGTCTCCCCCTTCTTCACCACCTGAGAAGTCTTCATCACCATCATCGTCGTCTACTTGCTCATCGGCATCTTCACCATCATCTTCTTCATCATCATCCTCTGTATCACTTCCGTCTTTATTTTCGGGTCCAGGCTTTTCCATTCTACGAAGATCATTCAAGGGAAACCTACAGAATTCGTAAGCATAATTTATTTTATATAATTCTCACAGGTAATCTATTATAACGAAAAACAACAATTACCTTTTCTCAATCAAGTTTGGTACTCCATCAACATTGTTCAACAGAGATTCTATCTGTTAGCATTATTTCCACTGTTAGGGAGAGTCAAACAACCTATGACAGCCACAAAAGCATTTAGCTATATTTGCAGTTTTGCACTATTCCTATGTAAACAGCTTGGTCCAAAGAGAAACTGATCCACAACAAGTACAATTTGGTCAATAAGTAACACAAAAGAAACTACAAAAGAAATTAGTTATTTGGACATCAGCCAAATTTAAATTAAAAAGATGGAAATAACACGTGAATTTAAATGTCAGGTTTAGCAACCGAAGGATAACAAGTAGAGGATGTGAGAAATTCATTCCTTTAAATAATAGTAGAGCTAGAAGAAGATGTTGGAAAGCAGCATAAAACATCAAGAGACTCTATCATATGGTAATGACTACAAGAACTTGGATTATCTTTGAAATAACGAAGTTCGACCCAACTAACACCTAGAGGATGGTGAATGGGTGTTTTACACGGAATTTAAATTTATCAGTATTTAAAGCAACTAGTCACTTTAATTATTTAATCCAAATGAATTCACATGCAAATCTAACATATGTTGAATTGCCATCCACTTTTGACAAATTGACTCACAGTATGGTCCAGATTCGACGCTCTCCTAGACTGCGTGAACCTGCACCAACTCTAGAAGACCTTTTGCAATCATCTATCTCCTATGGATCACCAAGAACTCCTTGTTCTTGTCCTGTCGGAACTCCGGTTTCCTTCCTCAATTTGCAGAACTCTAACAAATTATAAGGTTGTGGGTGGTTTGGTGTTTTGAGAATTTGGACGGATGTTTTCCAAAGTGTGGTTGAAAGATCATAGAGTTGATGTAGGATCTTCAAAAAATATTTTCTAGGAAGAATATAATAATCAACTACCAGTATGGACGGAATACAACTTGGGTATATATATATATATATATACATAGTAAAAGGTGTCTGGGGTTGTTTAGGACTCAAAAGGCTGTTTAAATTGCGAAATGGATTTTCCCAGAATACCACCGTCACTACAGCGCTAGGCGACAGACAGGTGCGCCGCTCGACCGATGAGCTAGCACCAGGAGGGCGACAATGGTCCAGTTGAGTTTTCCAAGGTGGCGCTCGAGCACTGAAGGGGGATCAACTAGCTTTATTCCAGCTACTTTTTCTCCTTGTTCCATATTCGAACCCAAAATATTCCTAATTGACTTATACAACCTTCCAAAGAACTCTTTGACTTTTATAACTCTTTTATAACAAAAATTTTATCTAAAGAATATTTAATTACAATAAAACCTAACAATCTTTACCAAAAAACTAAGATCCAAAAACATTAAAACCGAATAGATTAAAGCATCTCGCTGCAAAAAACGATGCACAAATACTAGGGATTATATTTACCTAAAGCAAAATTACAATTCCGGAAAATTTTTACTTCTTAATCCCACCAACTCTAGCATTTACTTTCAAAAGCTATTTGTTGAGAAGAAATACCAAGCTTCAATCATTCTTTTGAAACTGTTAGAGCTTTATTCTAGATGTGCAGGATGAAATTAAGCATCTATGAACGTGTAGCAAAACATATTCACACTGATCACATATCACAATTTCTCCCAAATGTCAACCAAACATACCGAATCTAAAATAATTGTATTACTAAATAACAATTTAATGATCCATTGAATACAGCAAACAGAACAATAAGAAATTAATATGGAAAATCTTTCATTTAGGTGTTTTCTTCTTATTCTCCTTTTGACAGTGCTAATAATGGGGAAAAAAATTTTCTCAAATGATTTATAAAGCGAGACACTTCACACCATTACAAACCCCCAAATAAATAAGACAGGAAAGTTCTAAGATTTAAAAAACCTAAAAATAAACTCTAATTTTTCTTAGAAAAAAATAAAATTGGAGAAATGGTGAACAAAACCCTATAAGCAAAATCCTTCAACTACCGAAAAGCAACAATATAAAACATCACCACGTAGCTGAAAAGTCAGAACTGAGGAGAGAAATTGAAAAAAAAAAAAAAAGAACCCACATCATTATATTAAAAATTTGCTAAGAATATGAAGAAAAAAAAATTATATACCAGAAGGCAGGCCAGAGATTTTTGAGCAGCCAAAAGGGTTTGAACAGCTACTGCTTCCACAAATGAGAAGGCCATTAGCTCCTCCCTCAAATTATTTACATTAGAGTTCAGTTTACTCGCCTCCATTTTCTCAAGAATTGCTTAAATTACTGTTTAAAAAAAAA